CCCCAAATGAATTGCTGTAAAATAAACAACTAATTTTGGCAAGTGATGTTTTGACATCCCTCTTTTCCTTCTTACCAGATTTTTTTGCGATCAATTTTAAACTGTCTATATTGGTCTGCATCCTTGTCATCCACTTCACAACTATACCTATGGTTATCATCTTTTATTCATTTGTGGGATGTGAGCATTGCTGACTGGTCCCTAGTTGCCTTTTGAACTGAATGGCTTGCTAGGCCATTTCAGAGGGCAGCTAAGTCAACCACATTGCTGTGGGTCTAGAATCACATAGGCCAGACCAGGTGAGGATGGCAGAGCTTCTTCCCTGAAGACCATTTGTGACAAGATGGGTTTTTCTGACAGTTGCCAGTCGTTTCATAGTCATTGGTGGATTCTTAATTTGAGTTTTTTTTTTTAAAATTGAACTTCAATTCTGCCATCGTGGGATTTGAACCCAGGTCACCAGAACATTAGCTGAGCTTCTGGATAACCTCCCTACAAACAACCAGCTGTGTAGGTTTAGCAAAAGTGCCTCTGATAGCCTCATCTGAATCATTGATTAAAAATTTTTGAAAAGTTGACCCATCACTTATTTTTGTGGGACCCTGTTCATCATTTTCTGCTGAGCTGAAAAAGACCCACTTTATGCATACTGTTTTTGTGCAACTAATCTTCTGTCCATGCTAACATGTTACCCTGTATACCATGAGCAGCTACTTTGTCTACGTACAACATAGAACAGTAAAGGAGTAGGCCCTTTGATCCACTGCATCTGTACTGACCATGATGCCATTCTAAACTAATTCCATCTGCCTATACATGGTCTGTGCCTGTCTCTTCCGTTTGCCTGTTTTATGTATCTAAATGCCTCAACATTGCTATTGCATCTGCTTTTACCAGTGTGTCCAGACACTTATTACCCTGTTCACTTTTTTAAGAAAAAAAACTTCTCATGTCTCCTTTTAAACTTCTTTCCTCTCACCTTAAACCTGCGCCCCTTCAGTATTTGACATTTTCCACTCTGGAAAAATGACTGACTATCCACACCTCTTATTTTAAGAACTTCTGCCAGGTTGCCCCTCAGCTGCTTCTGCTGTAGTGAAAAGGATCCAAGTTTATCCAACTCCTCTTTGTAGCTGATACTCTCCAGTACAAGCAACATCCTGGTTAGATTTTTTTTTTTTTTACTGGCAGCATCTGGGAAGAGAAACCAGTTGTTGTTTTGGGTCCGGTGACCCTTCCTCAGCAATACTTAAATGTAGCCTAAGTCAAGTTTCATAAAGCTGCAACGTGACTTGCTGACTTTTATACTTGATGCTCCAACCAGTGAAGGTACATGTGCCAAATGCTGCCTTTATCACCTTCTCCACTTGTGCGCCACTGTCATGAAGCAATGGAATTGCCACCCAAGATTCCTGTATCAATGCTCCTAAGGGTCCTGTGATTTACTATAAATATTCCTCTTGCATTTGACCCCCCCTCCCCCCGCCCCAAAATGTATAACCCCTTACTGTCTAGGTTAACCTCCATCTGCCGTTTCTGCATCCTGCTGTATCCTTTGACAACCTTCCACGCTATCCACAACTCAACAATTTTTCATTGTCTGCAGACTTACTAATTAGATCACCACCTATATTTTCATCCAAATAATTTGCGTATTACAAACAGCACAGGCCCCAGCATTGATCCTTTTGGAATACCACTGGTCACAGATCTTCAATCAAAAAACACCTCTCCACACCTACCCTCTGTATTTTATGACCAAGCCACCATGATCCCAGGTGACTTTGTCTTCTAGACTAGCCTAGCATGAGGTACCTTGTCAAATGCTTTAAAGTCCATGTAGACAACATCCACTGTCCTATCGTTCTCAATCATCTTTGACATTCCTCAAAAACCTCAATCAAATTTTGAGGCAAGAACTCTCATGCACAAAACCATGTTCACGAGCAAGTGTATTCTTTTCCAAATGCAAGCTAATCCTGTCTCTAAGAATCTTCTCCTATAATATCCCTACCATTTGTGTAAGGCTCACTGGCCTATAATTTCCTGAATTATTCCTCCTTGCCCTTAAAGGAACGATATTTGCTATTTACCAGTCTTGGACCTCACTTGTGACTAAAGAGGATACAAATTCTCTGTCAAGGCCCCTATAATCTCCTTCCTTACCTCCCTCAGTATCCTGGGATAGATACCATCAGAACCTGTGGATGTATCTATCTTAATGTTTTTGAAGACACCAAACATCACTCCTTAATATTGACATGCCCAGAACGTCGATTTACACCTTCCTAATCTTGGCATGATCCATGTCCTTTTCGTGAATACTGATGCAAAGTACTCATTGAGGACCTTTATCCACTTCCTCTGGCTCCACACATGCATTCTGCCCTTTGTCCTTGAGTAGACTTACCCTTTTCCTAGCTACCCTCTTTCTCCTAAACAACCCCTTTATGTGGAACCTTGACATGTGCTTTCTGGAAATCGAAGTATAGTTTATCAATCAGATCCCCTTTATTGATGGTGCATGTTACTCCTTCAAAGAGTTCCAATAACTTTAAACATTTTTTGCTTTAGCAGTACCATGCAGACTTCCTTGAGCTTTTTTAAATGCCCATTTATGACTTCCTTTTAATCAATTCTAATACTTCCCCCATGACAGACGTAACTAACTAACCTATACTTTCCTGTTTTCTATCCCCTTCTTGAATAAAGGGGTTATATTTTGCAGTCTGGAGCCAGTCATGAGAGAATTTTGGAAAATTAACAAACTTATTGACTACCCTTGTAAGACGTGACTCCAGATCCACAGCAATGTGGTTGATTCTTAATGGCCCTCTGTGATGGACAATAAATGCCAGCCTATCCAGTGATACCCTCATCCCATGAATCAAAAAAGCTTTGTCTCTATATGTGGTCCATCGTGAGCAAGAAATGTTTTTAGTCTTTTTGCATCTTCCCAACGAAGAGCTTGAAATAAAGGATTTGTTCACTCATCAGTATTCTGACAGGCTAACTAGTGTAAACCCTCATCAGTTCCAAAGGGTGGTGAGCCATAAATAAAATGCCTTTTCTGTGCTCCCAAACTTGTAAATGGTTAGCTTGCGAGTTGTGGGAATGATTATAAATATCTACCCTCTTCACCAAACGTGATTGTTCTGCTGGATATTTGCTTGGAATTCCAAGATTTGGTGCAATGTCTCTGCTCACCTGGTAACACTGTGGAGCTGGAGGAGCAGGTAAGTCGACATTTCAGGTCGGGACCCTTCTTCAGAAATAGGGCCCGATTTCTGAAGGGTCCCAACCCGAAATGTCGACTTACCTGCTCCTCCAGCTCCACAGTGTTATCTCTGACTCCAGCATCGGCAGTTCTTGCTATCTCTGCTCACCTGGAGTGGGTTTCTAATTTATGTTCACTTCAGGCAGAATTCTGAGGTTCGCTCCATATTGTTCAGTGAGATCGCATTACTGAGATGTGGTGTCAACTTTGAATGGAATCCGTCATCTGTGCAAATTCAAATAGCCATAGTTAATTGTTTTGTATTCTGAATAACATTTACTGGCATGGTGGTGCACAGAACAAAGGTTTGTTTGCATATTTTTATCTGGAGGTATGTTGTGTAACAATACCTTTTTATCTTTAAGGGAATTTAATAATAATCATGTATCAAGAATAACCTGCTTGTGATTAAAACGGTTTCATACTTAAATCAGAAAATACTGGGAGGATAGAGGACGTAGGAAATGCTGTACTGTGTTTTGGGAGAGGGAGGTGCAAAGTACTCTGACGAGTAGATACTTGATGTCAATTTTCTTTCTACTTTAAAGATGCTAAATGACCTACATTTTTGTTTTTCCTTAGTATTTGCAGTTATTTCACCTCCTGTTCCCCAAACTGTTAGAGATTTAATTCCAGTTTTAACTACACATTACTACCTGCAGACTATGTGGATTTTATCAAGTTGTCTTTTATTTGCCTTTTTTAAAAAAAAGTTGTCAGCTAGTGTTAATCATTTTGACAGCTATTCCTAGAAACTTAGAGATATGATCCAGGAGTTCGCCCTGTCTGCTTGAAATGTATGCTGACTGTAAAACCTACACTATTGCCTTTGGTTAAGATCAATTGTTTAAAGATAGGATCTTCATAGTATTATATCACTCACCTTTCCCACAGCCTTTGCATTATCACCTCTTTTTAAATGTAGTAAAAGAAATTAGCTGCTGACTGTTTCTAAATCGTGATCTCAATGGTTTACGTTTGGCTCGCAGAAGTCGCTGAAACAGTGGAATTGAACTAGCTCAGACAGCTTAAGTGCTATGTTAACTATTTATCTCTGTTCAGAGATTCTTTCAGTGTGAAAGATCTAAATTAAGATTACAGTGCTCTGAGGCAGTATGATGACATCCAAGCTCATGTCTGGGGAAAATACCTAGTCTGGTTAAAACAAAAGGATGTTGATGACTTTTTAAACAGGATGTTGGTCATTTTTTGGTTGGGGGTGGGTGTAATCACAGCTTTAGCTGTAATCTTTTTGAATTAGTTAACCTCTAACTTATTTTGCTTGAAGTTTACAAATTTATTTCGTGACTGGAAATCTTGAGGCTG